AAATTATTCAACAGCTATATAGCTATATAGTTTTAAAAGAAACCATATAACATATGAGGATTAGGCACAGCACTGCTGATCTTAATTGCCTTATGCTTTTTTAAAGGGCCAGCTCTCTGTTGTTTTATGGAAAAATAGAACTATACTGTAGCAAGCATATTGATTTCAGGGACAGCAAATTCCACAAGGAAAGAGGCAGCTATACAGATGGGCCTGTTTCAGGTCCATTTGCCTGAAGTTTTGAGGAGGAAACCAGAACAAATCTTCATGGTCCACTCAAACAAGATGAGATGTTGGAGGCAGGCCAGCCCATAATTAGTTAGGTCTTAAGGAGGAATTATAAGCAACAGCCAGCCTCGTGAACGTTACCTGGAAACAAATACAAATATTGGCACTGATAAGAACCAGTTATTGCACCCCAATATTCCGAAGTGAATTATGAGGCAAGGAAGAAGAGGTGTGGAAAAATATGAAGCGCAGACGTAGATGGCCAGACTAGAAAAATGACTAAAAGATGAAAAAGGGAAGTTTGAGTTCAGTTCTGAGGCCAGTTTTCTGTACCATGGCTCGTTTTATTCGCCATTCGACGCCGAATTCTCTCTGCCACGTATTAGGCGGGGCGAAGCAACCTGCCTCAGGCATCGAACTTTCCAATACAGGTTCTTGTGAGGAAAGAAAAGGCGCCTAGAGCCACAAGGAGCCTGTAGGCCTATGGCTGCAATGGCTTCAAAAGTTACATGAACTGGCTCAGTTTTGAGTGGTGGTTTTATTTTTTTTTATTTTTTTGGGGGGGGGTTGTGCCTGAAATACGCGCGGTATTTTTTTTTTCCACACTATTTTTTTGAGGGGACTACTAGTATTAACAAAGATCTTCATACAATCGCTGTGGCACAGATTTCCTTCGGGTCAGCCTTAAGGAACGCGGCCAGAGCGAGGGGAAAAAAAGCAGCTCTAACCATTAGCCAGTTTTACACACACACACACACGAGCTATAGAACAGGGGTCTCCAACAGTTAAAGGGGGAGCTCCAACAGCTCCCCATTTGAGCCTGGAGGACTTCAACTCCCAGAGTTCCCCAGAGAGCAAAGCTGGGAATTGAATTCTGGGAGTTGAAGTCCTCCAGGCTTAAAGTGGCCAAGGTTGGAGACCTACAGAACGTCTAGAGAGGGTCGCGGGGCGGGGGGGCTCGACTACGAAGCTTCCATTTCTCTCCTCCCTTTCTCTCCCCCCCCACAAGGCCGACCCGTTCACGCGCGCGCCGGCTGTCACGTGACCGGCTCCCTCTTTCTCTCTCCCCCCCTCTCAGCACGTGTCACTTTCTTCCCACCCCCCCACCCCTTCCCCCCGCGCGCCGTGTCCTCGGCGGGCCTTCTCCTAACCTGCGGTCAGCGCGTCTTGGCCTTGCATCCCGACGGGCACTTCGCCGTTTTCCAGGATACCGTAGCCCTCGTCGTTCTCGATGCCCGCGATTTCATTCTCCTGCTGGGCCAGGAAGGCGGCGGCTGGGTCTTCTTCGCCAACCCCCAGTGCCCCGTTTCCCGCCACTGGCTGAGAGGCGCCGAAGAGATCGAACTCGGCCATTGAGCGAAAAGAATCGAGGAGGAGTCAACCGAAGCGACGGTCCCCAAGAGACGAGCGGCCAAAAAAAAAAAAAAAATTCCCAAAACTACAAACCCGCCCGAGGCAACCGTTTAACGGATAGCGAGTACTATTTCCGGCTTCCTCCAGCTAATCAGTCCGACAGTCAGCAGCCTTTTTCTCCTTTCCTTCCTCCACCCCACCTTCCCGGGAAAGCTCCTTAGAGTGATGGCCCAAATCCACCAACCAACCGAGGGGAGAGAAAGGCAGAAGCCAATTAGTGTGCTCAGAAGGCGGGATTCTGCACACGTGATCTCTTTACTCTTTCGTCCGTGCGCTCTGAGGTGGGGGGGGGGGGGGAAGGAGGGGGGACGTGCTCGGGGTCGGGACGGTTTGTTTTTTTTCTTCTCCCTCCCCCATCCCTCGTCTTAATGCGGACTTCCCGGCTGGCATATTAAGCGGAGGTATTGAGGCAAAAACCGGGTTTATAACGTGAATGGTCGGTGGTACAACGAAAGGAGGAGCGCCAGGGTTTGCTCGAAAAGGAAACGCTCCTTTTACGCGCCCTTCTCTGAAAGTGGGTCCTAATAACTTACTGGCACTAAAATTACTAAGCACTTGTGGCTTTGCTGTCACTTTGCTAGATGTTACAGAAAGAACGAGTACTATTCTGCAAGGAGAAGGTCTCTTATCCTCTCTGGCCAGTCAGTCAGTTTACTGCAGACAAGTACAACCGGTCGCTAGGAGCTCTCTGTGAATCCTTCTAAATTGCTCGTCAGAGGCAGTGAAGAAAATTTGAGACAAACTTAATATACATCTATAAAGCAATCTGGCTAGAAGCTGTGAAGTCTGAAAGGAATATTCTATGGGTTATATGGAATCTAAATTTATATCAAGTGTGACTACAATTAAAATTACAAAAAGGCGATGTCTTAAAATTTATGTAAAGTCAGATAATATATAAAATTACAACTGAAATATCAAAAATCACATACAAAACCTCTGTAGCAGTAACTTGGCCCATTAAGGGTCTGGAGGATCCCTACTACATGTTTCTGTGTAACTTAGTCACACAGTTCTATAATAAATGGCAGTTCTTCTGACCGGTTTATCGCTAAATGCCTATGGAGATTCTCAGTCATCCAGGTCATGGTTGTCTCAAAGGTGCTTTTTCAAGATGCAGCTGGACTTTCTGGTTTTTCTTTGAAGATGTTGGCCAGTTTGTTTTTCATGAGAAGCAGAAACTAACTTTTTTTCCAAAAAAGTTAGGCACTTCAAATACTACAAAAGCTGTGGAGGTGTTCCTTGCAAAGCTTATTCTAATGAAAAGGTCCATATAGAGGTAATTGTTTTCTAGTTCTCCGAAATACAGTTCAAAACTTGGTAATGTCAGAATATTAGAAAGTTACCTTTGTATTCAGATATTGAACACACTTGTTTTGCTTTTGAAAGCCCTTTATTTGTTCTGAAACCTTTTGTAACTGCAGGAATCACTTGTATAGTTTTTAAAGTTATAACTTATTGACTTCATAGAGCAGGAAGATCTTCCCTTTTAGTGCAAATAAATATTTTAAATAGGGGGTGTGCATAAGCGCACCAATGTGCCTACCGTCCCTGTCCTATTGTTTCTTTTCTTGTATTAATAACCATGTTTATACTTATACCTGTTATCTAATAATCGCTTGACAAAATAAAATAAATTAATTAAAAAAATTATGTATAGCAAAACATACCTGCTTTTTTAGTTGGATAGCAAAGCAGGTGATAGTTCGTGATTGGCCTTTTCTGAGCTTGGAAGCTAAATGACTTTGGATACATTTAGTTTTTGAATGGGAAACTATGAGGGAATTCCAGGGCTAGGCTGGAAAGTCAAAAACATCCTAGAAGAAGACAATAGCAAATGCATCTATATTGTTCCCACTCAAAATATAAACATGCCCAAGGAGTCACCAGGAGTTAGTACTGTAAGGAGAGGTTGCTTCAGACTACATATGGGGGATAACAGTTCTCTTCTGTAATATTTTTATACCTTCCTTTTAAATATTATGAATCCGAGAGGAAACAGGAAAGTATGGGCTGGCCGTGTCTACATGTATGCATTTGGAGATGGCAAGAGTAGTATCCACTGTGGGTGAAGCAGAACATTTATTTTGGATCTGAAATAAACATATGTTTCAGATTTTCTTTACAGCCATTCCAGATTGGCTGTGATTTGGCAGAAACAAAATGTGGAACTAGGGAATAATTTAATGGGCAAGCTGGGGTAGGCTGATATATATTGCCATCACTCTAGCCTCCCACTCCCAGCAGATGCCTACACTGACTATCACATTGGCTAGTCTTTCCTAGCATCTTCTTTCATTATAGTATATCCCCTATCTGTTATAAAACAGTAACATTCTATATTATTGCATACCAGGTATTAAAAGCATAGAAACAGTAAAAAAAAATGGCAATCCTTTTTGTAGTGTAATCTTAGAAAATTAATAGCCTTTGGGAGTACAGCTCAGAATAACTTAACAAATTCTTGTAACAAATTTTCATTTCCTCTTTCTTCAAAGAAATATAGCTTCAGTTCTCCACATCATTATCTAGAAATCATTGAGCAATCATTAGTCAAATGACAGAGGTTTGCTATTTTTTAAAGATCACAGAGGTCAATAGCTAGCTTTCTTGGACAGTCACAAAGCTAGAACTGTTCAACATACCAAGCCATAAACTAGTTAACCAACTTAGCTTTATGGTCCAGTATGAATTACAACCCTCCCCAAATGAGGTGAGTAACCATGGTTCAATTAATAGTGTTATTTAAACATCACCATTGTGAAAAAGGACTTAGTATGATTATCTATCTGCCTATGTGTGTACACACAGCACTCACCCTGGCCTAGAATAAAATGCAGTTCTCTCTACTTTGATCTTTCACACTAAGCTGCATTTTTAAAAAAGAGTGATTTTGGAAGGAAGGAAGGTTCGTTTGTCTTACATAATTTTACACAAGGAATTTGGTGAAAGATAATTTATACTCTTTACATATATCTATAGATTTACAAACTTCTTTGTCTACTTTGCTACTACCTGAGGACCATGTAAATGCTACTGTCAACAATTATTTTATTGGAACAGTAGCAACAGCTTTAATTGAAAGTGCCTCTTCTTGAAAAAATGGCTCTATTCTCCAAATCCTCTTTGTAAGACAATTGCTATGAGTCAATTGTTTTCCTTTCTTTGGTTGCAAAGGCAATGTTGAAGGAAAAGAGATTGCTAGATAAAGAAAATTGACCTCAGGTTTTACTGTTGTTTAAAAATACTGTATATATTTTGTAACAAAGATAGAATTGAGATCAGGTCATAACCGAGGATGAAAAATGAATAACTTTTAAAATGCTGTTGAATTCAGCTCCCAGGATTTCTTAACTGGGGGCAATGTTGGTTGGGACAGTGGAATCTACAGGTGAAACTCGAAAAATCAGAATATCATGCAAAAGTTCATTTATTTCAGTAATGCAACTTAAAAGGTGAAACTAATATATGAGATAGACTCATTACATGCAAAGCAAAATAGTTCAAGCCGTGATTTGTTTTAATTGTGATGATCATGGCTTACAGCTCATGAAAATTCCAACTCCACAATCTCAGAAAATTAGAATATTGTGAAAAGGTTCAATATGCTAGGTTCAAAGTGTCCCACTCTAATCAGCTAATTAAGCCATAACACTTGCAAAGGGTTCCTGAGCCTTTAAATGGTCTCTCAGTCTGGTTCAGTAGGAATCACAATCACGGGAAAGACTGCTGACCTGACAGTTGTGCAGAAAACCATCATTGACACCCTCCATAAGGAGGGAAAGCCTCAAAAGGTAATTGCAAAAGAAGTTGGATGTTCCCAAAGTGCTGTATCAAAGCACATTAATAGAAAGTTATGTGGAAGGGAAAAGTGTGGAAGAAAAAGATGCACAAGCAGCAGGGATGACCGCAGCCTGGAGAGGATTGTCAGGAAAAAGCCATTCAAAAGTGTTGGGGACTTTCACAAGGAGTGGACTGAGGCTGGAGTCAGTGCATCAAGAGCCACCACACACAGACGGAGCCTGGACTTGGGCTTCAAATGTTGTATTCCTCTTGTCAAGCCGCTCCTGAACAACAAACAACGTCAGAAGCATCTTACCTGAGCTAAAGAAAAACATAACTGGTCTGTTGCTGAGTGGTCCAAAGTCCTCTTTTCTGATGAGAGCAACTTTTGCATCTCATTTGGAAACCAAGGACCCAGAGTCTGGAGGAAGAATGGAGAGGCACACACTGCAAGATGTTTGAAGCCCAGTGTGAAGTTTCCACAGTCTGTGTTGATTTGAAGAGCCATGTCATCTGCTGGTGTTGGTCCACTGTGCTTCATTAAGTCCAGGGTCAATGCAGCCGCCTACCAGGAGATTTTGGAGCACTTCATGCTTCCTTCCACAGACAAGCTTTATGGGGGATGCTGACTTGATTTTCCAGCAGGACTTGGCACCTGCCCATACTGCCAAGAGCACCAAAACCTGGTTCAATGACCGTGGGATTACTGTGCTTGATTGGCCAGCAAACTCGCCTGACTTGGACCCCATAGAGAACCTATGGGGCATCGCCAAGAGAAAGATGAAAGACATGAGACCGAACAATGCAGAAGAGCTGAAGGCCACTATTGAAGCATCCTGGTCTTCCATAACACCTCAGCAGTGCCACAGGCTGATAGCTTCCATGCCACGCCACATTGAGGCAGTAATTGCTGCAAAAGGGGCCCAAACTAAGTGCTGAGTACATATGCATGCTTATACTTTTCAGAGGTCCGATATTGTTCTGTGTACAAACCTTGTTTTATTGATTGCATATAATATTCTATCCTGTTTCTCCAACAATATGGCCTCCCCCAGTAGGAAGTCCCAGCATGTTTTATAGGCATGAAATGAAATTAAGCCCCTCCCCCCAAATTAAGGCCTATGTTAAAACATGCGAAATGAGGGGAATGGTGGGGGGGGCTTGCTGTTAGGAAGTACTTTTGTTGCACACCTGGATATCGTGCTGCCTGCGTTGACCTCGATATGAAGTGCCCCACCAACACCGAGGTCAACATCCAAGCCGTTGCCGCCCACCTGAAGATGCAAGTGGGGGGGAATTAAGTCACCCCCGAAAAGACTGCCTAGCCATTTTTTCGGGGCTCAAAAAAAAATAAGACCCAGCCTTGTTATATGAGAAACACGGTAATTTTCTGAGATTGTGGATTTGGGGTTTTCATGAGCTATAAGCCATCATCATCACAATTATGACAAATCACGGCTTGAACTATCTTGCTTTGTATGTAATGAGTCTATCTCATATATTAGTTTCACCTTTTAAGTTGCATTACTGAAATAAATGAATTTTTTCACGATATTCTAATTTTTCGAGTTTCACTGTATGTACCTCAACAATATCTGGATAGTTTCCCACTGTTGTTAATTTTTATTATTTTTGTGAACAGCTCTGCTAACTGGGTAGAAGAACTCCTAACATTACATTCTTCTTTAAAACCCTGTTAAGAAAAGAGATGGCCATTTTTATTTCCATACAGAACATAGGAGTCTTAGCGCTTGAGAATATCTAAATCTAAATCACAACACCTTTAGCAGTTAACTATTATTGCTGTTCCTCTTTGAACCTGTAATAAAATAGTTAAGAATATTTCTGGACTTTAAAGTTGCCACTGCAACAATTCCAAAATCTTAAGATTACTCCCAAAGGTTAGGGCATAAAAATTTGCATGGGTTACTGCTATGCAATTTCACATAGTCAGGGTTTTAGATGAATCATGCAATGCTTTGCTTGCTAGGCTGCAGCTGTGGGTCAATGAGAAGCCTGGTATCTAGGTTTTTCTCCACTGTTTCAAAATATGTTTCAATATTTAACGTAAAAATCACAGAATGAAACATGTTAACTTCTATGTTAATATTGCATATGATCTCTAGCTGATTATTTTTTGCCTCTAACCCCAGATAAGTGCCATATCCCACTCCAATATTCTCATCCTAATTACATTACGTACATGATAAAGGGACAAAAGGAAGTGTCCATCTATGTATCTGTAAACTGCATTTCAGTCATTCTTTATTGCTACAGATTGTTTCATGTTGGTTTCCCAAATTAATTGACTACAGTTTTTTGGAGGACCTTGCATGGCAACTTCGCCATGCAGCAAGCAGGACAATCAAGAGCTTCTGGAGGCACAGCTAAAGTCCTCCATTCCCCAGTGCTTTGGTCTAACATATATGCTTGCCGATTGATAGAATACTCCTCTGGACGTTTTTCACCTGGACAAATAAGTCCACCACATACAAACACTTTGTTATTCCCAATAGAACACACCGCATGTGACAGATCCAAACTATAGTTATGTGGCAGCAGAGGCACAAGGCTTGAGGTTTTGCTAACTTTAACCTTCTGCAGATTTATTTCCATGCTCTCTTTGTGGCTCTGTACACTCAAAATGTTCTCATGTGGGAAAGACAACAAGGGCTTATGGTTGAACTGAATGGGAAACGTGATATACTGGACTACATTCCGGGTCTCGGTGTCAAAGCAGTCCAGCACACCTACTCGTGAGAAGCGCCCATTTACCAGACATCTCCCTGTCACAATGTAAATAGTCTTGTCTCCCTTGGTGATCAGTGCAGTTGCGTCCATAGGTATACTCATCTTCCCAGCAAGAGTCCATTTCTCTTTGTCTTCATCGTACTTGTAGATACTGGAAATGTACCTTCTTGGGGCTGTGCTACCTCCTATCGAGTACACTGCGCCTCCACAAGTCACCATGCTATGGAAAACAAGACCAACTGGCAGATCTGGAAGTTTGATCCATGTGTTGGTATCCATATCGTACTTCCAGGCAGTCTTCAGCCCAGAGATCTGCTCAGTGGTTCCTCCAGAGACATAAATGAATTTGCCCAGTGAGGCTGCACTGAGTGCGGCTGCTCTGTAAGGCATTTCTGTGAGTTTCATCCAGATATTCTCTCCTATTACATATGCAAACACCTCATTGTTGAATTTGCCCTGTTCTTTTTGTCCCCCTAAGATTACTACTGAGTCCACTAGTGCCCCCTTCCTTTGTTGAAGCATCAAACTTTGAGGACTTCCGTGTTTACGTTCACTCAACACAGCTTCTATCCGGGACAGAGGTCCAGTGTGGTCTGCAAAGAGCAACACTTCCCGACAGGCTGCAAGTAGTGTCTTGGTAGAAACTGCTGTTAAACGTATATGGGCAAAGCACTTTTTAAAATGCTTTTCCCTTTCATTCTTTTTATATTTTATCCACTGAAGGAGACCGAGAAAGATCTGATCTTCATTTTGCACGTGAAGATTCTCCTCTTTAAGCAATTTGCTGAAGACATGATAAGGGCATTGCATAAATTCTGATATGCCCTGAGGCCCGACCCAATAATGAAAATTGTCTCGTATCCCATCATAGGCAGCATTCCTTGTGTCCTTCAGGTCATATGTAGTGGCTATCAGAATGTACTGGAGGCAGTTCTCCATTTTGAGGGACCGGAGGAGGAAATCAGAGCAGTGACTTCTTAAAGTTTGGGAACTGAAGTACTTGGCTCCCTTCAGCAGTTCCTCCACGTTTTTCTCTGAAATCACAATCCTCCCAGTATAGAAATAATCAAGCAATTCTTCCATTAAGGCCGAGCTCATGAATTTCGCATCAATGATAATATAGAGTTCATCATCTGCTTTCATATCATTGCTGGATATCAAACCCCTTATATGGGAAGACATAGCTGCTAAGACATTGAGGTGGGCATGGAAGACAGTCTGGTCCACACTGAGAGCCACATCACAAAATTCCTTGTTCTTTCTTTGTTTGTTAAGGGCCTGTACCATAAAACTGTTGTGGTTCTTTTCTGTAAACTGCATCTTCATGTTTTGAGCTGGGTCTGAAGGTTGTCTGAAGTTGAGGATGATGGTAAAAGCCTAGATTCTCTTGGCCTGAAAACCTCACTCTGAGTGCAGTGGAGTGATGTCAGTAGATGTAGATACCAGGTCATAATTACTTGTGACCTATACTGAAAACAGCCTTTTGAAATTTGTAAAAGGTTCTGCGCAGCATTTGGATAATATAGGAATGTTACTTCAGATCCAGTATGGATACGCTCACTGTTGATAGCTTCCTAAAGAGGTTGAGCCTTTCCCTTCTCACTATGCATCTTCAGGAAAATAAGTACAAACAAGAAGTATAGCAAGGACGCGCACTACAGATCAGAGCCTCTTCCTACTTCAGATCTCAATACCGGTCACCTCCAGCTTTGCTACAAAAAGAGAAACAATACTTCTAATCATAGGGTACCTTTCTTACATCACCATTTTGCTCAGTTTGATATTCTTTGGCATGTTTGGATCACAAACATCACAATTCCCAGTCACTTTGAATGGAAATTTGATTAATTAATCTGC